TTACCTTAAATAATTCTCTAAAGCAAAGCGCACCTCGGCAATTAACGAACGGATCTTTTTTGCATTTTTAAAGTCATTAGGACGAAGTCTGACGCGTAAGTTAGATTATTGCTTATATGAGGCACCATTAGTTAAATCTTTTAATCATACTTTTGACCTTATATCTAAAAATAAAACTCATGATTACCATTCTATAAACTTTTGGTTACAGTGAAGAAATTTTCCTAATAGAATCCTCTTTTTCAAATAAGTGAAAACGTCTCTGGTGTCTAAAATCATATGAAGAAATTTGCAATTGATCCCAAACAAGTTTTAAAGGATTTGCAGGCCTATATGCAGGATTAGGATTCATTTTTAATTTTTCGCGAGTGTGCTAAAGATTTTTTTGAGCATCGTTATAATACTCTTGTCCTAAAACATTTAAGGGAACGGCATCTTTCATACATTCTTTTAACCGTAGGGAAACGTTGTCTCGTATAGTATTGCATAAAATATTTAATTGTAACTACTTAGAACTGTGTTGCCAATTTTTAGAATTGCCTAGGAAATGCGTGGGACGATATCATCCCATACCTGGATTCCAAATCCGATAAAATAAAAGCTGAGGAGTTAACTATGTCTTACTTCTAAGTTCTTGTCTAAAAATTCCATTGTTCCTTCTTTCGTTGTTTGCTTAGCAGTAGTTATCTTTAGGGTGTGCCGCAAGCCCTGGTCGATGCGATATGCTCATCTAAACATAAGTCATCCGTTGGAAAGGCAAGTTCTGGAATACGAGTATCACGTATATATAAATAGAAGAGGAGGAACCCGATAAAGATTTGCATTGAATTGTATGTATGACGAACTTGTCTGAAAAAGCTGCGGTTTCTAGTTTTGAAGTTTGTGAGATTTGTTATTCCGAAATTTTCCCACATATAAGGCTTCTCTGAGCAAATTTCAATTCCATCATTGTGATAAAGTGTTGAAAATTCTGGTCTTCGTGCTTTACGTGGTGGATTAGGAGGTGGTTTATGTAATTTTCGTGAAATGAAACCAAAAAACGGAAAGGTTAAAAGATCCCCTATCGATAAGTTTTGGCATCGGAGATGATAAAAGGCAAACTGGTCAGTTCCGCGGTATTTGTCGTCACTAGCCAGTTAAGCTCCACAACCATGACTTCAGTCATTTGTTGAGCCTGGGGATTTAAGCGGGCTGGGGATGAAGTTATGTGCTAGAAATACTAAATAGTTTACCATACTGGCGACACAGGTACTATATAAAAGGTTTTGGCTAGTATCCGTACTGTCAATATGGCATTCAATGCGGTAATTTTAAATCGCTGACCGTCTGTCGGTAGCTTGCGAATATTAAGTGGCCAGTCCATAGTAGCTGTTGGGTAATAGGTCGAATATTATTGCATAAACCTTTGAACTGAGCTCTAAAACTTTGGTATAAAAAATTTATTCCACGATTGTGCACTAATTTCCTCGGAAATAAAAAAAGGCAGCAAATTTAAATGCTTCTCAGCCGTAACCGAGGGCAAACTGGGGTCGCGAATATAAAGAGGCTATGAAAAAATTAGTCAATGATTCACCCCGAATACAAAAGGGAATGGCGCATATCTTCTTGAAAAACGAGATACAACTGCTTGAACAACGGATATATTGGCCTGAAGTTTCGGATTTTCACTTGGGTCCATCATCAGAGACGGAGTTAGATAAGGGTAGTGGATTTCCCAGCAGTTGCAGTTGTAGTTACTGGGCTGCTATATGCTCGTCACACTTGGCAGTCCCGAAGCATCACGGCTTGACTGGACAGGTGCTGCAGAACGCAGCTGCCATGCATAGCAGATGTGTTAACTCACTAAATATTAACCGAAATTCCGAAATGCGTTTTCGACTCGAAATGATTACTTATATATCGTTGTGGTATTCGTCACCGTGCAGCATAATCCCATGATAAATCGGTGACTTCAGGATTCCGGCTTTTGAATGGACCTCTTTCAGGCCACCTACAAAAAACACCCTGAAAAGTGGCTACTTAAACATCATGAATTCTTTTTACTGGTTTTCAATGTCCTTATTCACTCAAATATATCTCATAGAAAACATGCACTCGGAAGAAAACTGCCTTTTCTTCAAACTGTATACCTTAAGAAGAGTATGATTCGGCTTTAAAAATCTTTCCGATTCTCGAAAAGTTTTAAGCCGGACCTACGGTTACACTTACATTCAGGGTTTCCAGGATGTAAGTTATGTATAATCCATGTACGGAAAACCACGTACTTTTCTGTGGTTTACAGGGTTCATGAAATTGAGGCATGAAATTGAGTTACGCTCTAAACTTTACAAGCATTATTAGTAAATGTGGGGACATGATCTTAAGAATCTCATAATTAGAAACCTATTTAAAAACTAATCATACACTTTCTTTAGGCGACTGCAGCCGTTGTAGGGCCGCCTGGGCTATTAGTTTTGAAATCGGCGAACCCATTGGCATACACTTCACCTGTTCGTAGATTGTTCCGTTGGACACAAAGTACGTTCTGATGAAGAACCTCAGGAGTTTTTTTGACTTGGGCGGGTCCAAGACGATTCTCCGTTTCATCGCACTTGTCTCATAAAAGCAATTGGATGGTTTCAATTGTCATGTCCTGCAGAATGAAAGAAAAATGGGACGTGACGTCAAAAGACGCCATGAAGTCGCTTTACAGGAGACTTCTCCCTTTAAGTTTTTCAAAGAATTATGTTGACGAACTGGCTATAGTGTCTGAATTTGCGGTCAGAAATTAAGGACGCCGAAACAGCCATTTTGCCAGCCCGTGAGTTGAAATATCTTTGAGTGAGACGATGGGCCGGAGGAGAACGTCCCTTTGTGCACCTTGAGAAGATTATAGAAGCGGGCAAAGACCGTGTCCTGGGTTCTCGCCTTGCGTAGACTTACCGGCGATTTTGCACTCGGGTTTTACAGTGCCAACAGCGTCACGTTGATTTCTTGTGTCGGAGTTTTTACGGGATTAGTTGCGCAAGGGAATAGGGTTGGCGGTCCTCCAGTAAACGTTTGGCCTTCTGAAGGTAGTCTATCCTGTCCAAAACAACCGTAGAACGCTCCTTGTCCGCAGCATGAAAACGAGTTCTTTGTCGGCCTTGAGCCCCCTTGATGCAGCGCATTCGACCTTAGACAGCACTTAGCGCGACCTATGAACCACAAGGACAGATAACACTTGGTGTCGGATAATGTTATTGGTCGCGTTCGTTGCTCCCGTCTGATCGAGGACTGTTTCCACCGCTGCAATTATGCTGACAGGTTTAGTATCAGCTGTGTTGTGTGACGCTTTATGCTGTAACACCTGAATCTGATCTTTCTTCAGCTCCTCTGACGAAAAGTTATGCATCAGATTGCCGTTTTGGGCAACGCTGAATTAGGCAGCTTTTGGAATAGGCTCTCCAGTGCTGCGTCACATATCGCCCTCTGTTCGCGGATACGTTAAGACACTCTCGGCAGGAGCAGATTTGTGCCTAAATCGCCTAACAAACTCATGGCATTTAGTTTTCTCTTAGTCTCTTCTCTGACAGCATTTCCGAAGCCTGGCTTGCCAATCTTGAAGAAGCATTAGGATCGTACTTCTGTCGTGTTGAAATTCTTCCCGTCTCGCCAACTCCGTGTTCACTGGGGGATTCATATGAGACACCTGTCGTAATGCGTGGTTGTTGAGGCACCTGTGCTGAAACAGATTCTGCGCATAGGTAGAGGCCTCTCGAAGGACGGAAGTTTCCTATCTTCGGGCCGATCGGATCGTATCACGACAAACAATTTGTTCACACATGCGAAGAACCTGATAAAGCTCTTTTTTCAGCGGTCGTGTCTACTTTGCGACCTCTTCCTGAAACTCACCTCCTCACTTCTATTGGAGTATCGTTTTCCCATGAAGTGAGCGACATTCCGGTGCAGTGAGCCTTATTTATAAGATGTATAAAATTGGAGAACTTGTATGCAATCATTTTTTATGTCTTCCTTGTTCTTCATACTTCCATACCGGAAAATTCTACGGTAGACAGAATGTAAACCTGAAAAAAGCTCGTCTTCGTTTTTCCATGCTATGCATATGCATTCGCACTGACGTGTTATGTCATCACGATAGTCGCTCAAAATGCGTTATAGCGAGGTTTAGTGTATTAATCTAAATACTAAATGCAAGTTTATTACCCGAGTTTGTCTACAGCATTGACAATTTATCAACCGAAAGGGAAGTGCAATTAGGCGGAAGTGTTAAGTGATAGATTCTCCCACGCAGGTACAGGCAGGTATCGATAACTCGAAGAATTCGCAGTTCGACCGTCGATTCCTTCGACGTCTGCCGTATGTCCTACAGGTGGGCTTGTGCGCGAAAAAGGCAAAAGTGGTAGGAAACTAGCTCAGCATCTACCTTACAGTGCGTGGCCGATCTCATGAAATGTTGGCCGAAATTCTGGAACGTGTTTTCGATTAGGAAGGATTAGTTAGGTAAGGTTGTAATATTCATTAGCATGCAGCATAATCCTATAGCATTTCGGACTGTATTTGGCCTTTTATTGGTTCCGCCTTTCTGAGCGCATCTTCTTGACTTTTCACATAGATGCATTGAGCTAACCCAGGGGCTAGATCAGAGTACGACATGCGTTATCAATAATTTACACTATAACAACAGCCAACATTCGGGGTGGGTGGCAGGCCCCGTTGTCAGCGCACGCCACGCCAAATGGGATCTCATACTGCTGCTGCTGCTGCAGCTGCTGCTTCTGCTGCTGCTGCTGCAGCTGCTGCTTCTGCTGCTGCTGCTGCTGCTGCTGCTGCTTCTGCTGCTGCTGCTGCTGCTGTTTATAAATCCTGGTCAAGTGTTTGTTGTGGACCAGTGGGTGTGGTGGTTAGCCTAGATGCGGACTTACGCGGCGCCAGCCACCTACGTCGTCTTCCGCCTCCGGCCTTCTTGAATTGGTTATGACACCGGGTCCAAATGAGAGAAGAGGAGAGAGTGTGGTAAATGTTGCGCAATTCTACTGTCACTATGAACAAATTCAGGCTCAAGTCACCATCCCTCCTCTTACCCTGATATAAATCAGACGACGGGGATCGCCGAAATTGACGGTCGAACTGTCATGGGATCTAAAAGATCTTATTTAGTTCTTCCTTAGTCAAGTTCTTCCCCAATCAAGTCACTGTACAGATAACTAGTGGCTTAGCAAAGTTTCTTAGGGCTTTGTATGTCGTTTTTTGCCTAAAACATTGGGTAATACAAATAAGTGGGAATGCTTTAATGTAAAAGATCACGTAGACTACATCCGGGAGTTGACTAAACCTTGAGTCGAAAGATGCATTACGGCAAATTAGAGGGGGCTGAAATAAACGGGGAACAGTCAGTTCAGTATTTTAAATTAACAACGACGTAATTTGTCTATTTGAGCTTCTGACATCTGAATATTTTTTATTTAAACCAATCTGATGTGTGTCATGCAGAAACCTCTACATAGAGCGGCTTTTAATCGATGTCCTGATCAGACATTGCCTCGGCCAGTGTTCCTTTGCCGCGCCCTCCAACGCTTCAGATCATCTTGACGCAAGTGGGTGAGGAAGGTAGAAGTACAGTGCGTGCCCGATCTCATGAAATGTTGCCCGAAATTCTGAAATGTGTTTGCGATTAGGAAGGATTAGTTAGGTAAGGTTGTAATATTCATTAGCATGCAGCATAATCCTATAGCATTTCGGACTGTATTTGGCCTTTTATCGGTTCCGCCTTTCTGAGCGCCTCTTCTTGACTTTTCACGTAGATGCATTGAGCTAACACAGGGGCTAGATCAGAGTACGACATGCGTTATCAATAATGTACACTATAACAAAAGCCAACATTCGGGGTGTGGTGGCAGGCCCCGTTGTCAACACACGCCACGCCTAAATATACACTTCCATCAGGTATAAAATATGAAAACAGTGTGATTTTCTACTAAAGGAGTAAAATAAGGCATATTTTATACAGGTTTTATATAAAATATTTTTTGATATATAAGAGCGTCGAAAATCAATACGAAAAATGAATGTTACTTAAGTAGCCATTTTTTATCAAGAGGAGGAGGAGGAGGAGGAAAACAATCAGCTGACCTTCCTGGATGTCCTCGTCTGCCACAAAGATTTTGGTGGCCTAAAAACCAAAGTGTTCAGGAAAGCGACAAATACGACACAAATACTGAACTTCAATAGCAACCACCCGATCAGTCACAAACGCAGTTGCGTAAGGGCGCTATACTGGCGTGTTGAGACGCACTGCAGTGAAATGGAAGACAAGGTTGCTGAGTTACAATATCTTCGGCGGGTAATGAGAGCCAATGGCTACCCGCACAACTTTGTCAACCAGTGTATACGAAAACGACACCGGAGACCAAATCCAACTAGCCCCAAATTTTGGCGGGCTCTTCCGTACTTGAAGAACGTCTCGGAAGCCGTCAGTCGTCTTCTCACTCCATTTGGAGTTGGGGTTGCACACAGGCAGGAAGCAACCATTAGGCGCCAAGTAATGAGGCCAAAAGACCCGCTGCCACGGTAGGAAACGTCTGGAGTCGTTTACCGGATCTGGTGTAGTTGCGGACAAAGCAATTATGTCGGAGAAACTTGGAGATTACTCCGTACGCGACTTGCCGAGCACGCAGCAGCAGTGAGGCGGGGAGACGCTAACTCTCAGGTGGCGGCACGCTCGACGGGACCCGGCCATATTTTGAAATTTCAAGAGGCCGTAATCCTCGCAAGGGGTGACAACCGCGTGGGCCGCGAGCTGCTCGAGTCATGGTTCTCAGGCCCGCAATCCATCAACAAACACAATGACCTCCCGGCACCCTATAGCGTACTGCGATTTTCCCTGGGCAGGAGAATCAGTCACGTGGGGAGGGCGCGGGTGAGCAATTATCACGGTGACAGTGAGCCAGTTTGCCGAGCAATCGTCACACCAGCATCGAGCACGGATGACGAAATCGCGGCAATTAACAACTCGGAC